AAAAACAAGATGGCTGCGCCTACAGTGCCACCCAGAGAACCGGTTCAGAGATGTGGCAGGGCTGGGGGGCTGCCGGTTCCAGCGCCCCAGGGCCCCAAAACACTCCCCGGTTCAGCCAAACCGGGCCGAACCGGTAGGAACCCACCACTGATCTGCCAGTCCGCAGCACATGAATTTTTGCTCATTTGTCAGTATTCTACAAAGGCAGAATTCATATGGTTTTTAGGATGTACATGAGCTTTTCCCTGCCCAAGAGAAAACACAATGCCAGAGGAAAAGAGAGCGGTTTTCTCCTTCTTGTAAAGGACAGGAGGTGGTGGCTTAAATGTAAATGACCAAGCTGATATAATTGACAACTCCGGTCTCCAGCGATGAAAGCCTGGGCAGAAATGGGGTGGAGGAACCAGTCGCCTTTGAAATGAGGAAACCAGAAGGAACTGTAGTTGGATCCCAGAGGGCATGCTTGCCCATTCTAATTCAAATTTCCCCATGTCTAGAGCTGTCTTGCAAGTAAAGGGAGAATCTTGTGTCAATGTATTTCCACTGCTCTATTCTTCTTCTTACACAGGTAATGCAGAGGTCAGGGATTTTCAGGTGGAATAAACAGATCAAGTGTCTGCAACCATGGCTACTGGTCCACAAGGACAATCGTTCTCTTAGTTTCAGAAGTGGGAGGTGGGGGAGAACACTGCTTTAAGTGGGGCAACACAATGTAGGTGAGGAAAGACTACTTTTTATACAGTATAAAATATATTCAAAGCAATCCGTAAGTCAAGAGTAAAGAAAAGTTCCAGAGGATTTGCATTTACAATGTAGATCTCTACTACACAATATTAATGTAGCAATTCTATGGCTTTCGGTGGATTTTCCCCTTTATAACTTCATGCTGTTTGTTTCCTTGTTTGTTTGTTTGTTTGTTTCTTACCTTTTGGAATCACCTTCAGAAGACTTAAGCTATTTTCAAATCCAGTCTAGTGCCCATAATGCAATATCCTCTAGTCTCACAATGGACAACTCATTCTGTAGAAACAATGGAGCAAGCGTAGAGAGATGATGCAGAAGTGCTACAGTTGCTTGGAAGATAGGATAGGTTAGAATGGAATGGAACGGAACAGAACAGAATTCTTTATTGGCCAAGTGTAATTCTACACACAAGGAATTTGTCTTTGGTGTATATGCTCTCAGTGTACATAAAGAAAAATAAAATAGAATGCATTCATCAAGAATCATGAGATACAACACTTAGTAATAGTCATAGGTTACTAATAAGCAATCAAATTATCCTAGGAAACAAATAAAACAATATAAAATTTAAAGATACAAGCAACATGGTTATAGTCATAAGTGAAAAGAGATAGGTAGTAGGAAGGAAGAGAAGAATAATACTAATACAGTCTTTGTAGCTAATATGACAGTGTTGTGGGAATTAGTTGTTTAGCAGAGTGATGGTATTCGGGGGAAAACTTGTGTCTAGTTGTTCTGGTGTGCAGTGCCCTATAGCATCGCTTTGAGAGTAGAAGTTGAAACAATTTATGTCCAGGATGTGAGGGGTCTGTAGATATTTTCACAGCCCTCTTTTTGATTCATGCAGTATACAGGTCCTCAATGGAAGGCAGGTTGGTGGCAATTGTTTTTTCTGCAATTTTAATTATCCATTGAAGTCTGTGTCTGTCTTGTTTGCTTGCAGAACCAACCCAGATGCAGAGATGCAGATGATAGACTCTTATAGTGAGGAAAGTCCACTTGTCATGAGTTTGTAAACTGGGACAACAAAAATTGCCTAAGGCTGCAATCAAGGCTGTACACTTTCATTGAATACTCGCTGTTGAACTCAGTTTAAGCCTTTGAATTGTATACATTCTATAAGACAAGTTTTGTGTGCTCCCCACAAATGACATACTTTTACTAGGAAAGAAAGGATCTTTAGGAAATTTTAATTTAGAATGGAACAGTATTTCAAGGAACATTTGCATTGTCTCATTTGAAATATTTACTGAATATTGCTTGGAATATTNCAATTAGTCTTGGATTTCCTTTGATTTTGGGTAATGAGGAGCTGCCATTTGCCTGTTAGACTCCTCTTTCAAATTTGCTACATGATTAATCACTTCTAAAGATGCTTCCTAGGGTTACTCCAGAGTTTTGTACTAGTCATAAAATCTGGATGAAATCCAATAGGTTGTTTCTGCTGATAGAACTACTTATATTAGTAAAATTAGGAGAAAATAATTTCCTCTTCTCTCTGCAGTTCTTCAAACCATAACCAATCTCACTCCTCAAATCTGCTTGCAAAGGATTCCCCAAACACCCAAGAGCAGATTTTTTTTAAAGATAGGAGCTTCATATCTGTATAAGATCATCTTGTATACCAGTGAACAATAAAAATGTATAATCTAATGAGTTGTAATTAAACAACTGCAATAAAATTTCTATTTATATATATCTTCATCTCTTTTTTATTTTAAGAAAGCAATTCAAAGTGGGATGCCCATTTTATAAAGTGTAGTAGCCAACATTAAAAATGTGGGGAAATGGGGATTTTAAATATTTTTGCTGCCTCCTAGCTGATGTGCTTTTTTAGCCTCTTTATTTTGGTTGGTATGATTGGCAGCCATAACTGAGTGGCTGCCACGCTCTATTGTTATTACAGCGACAAGAATGCAAGAGAAGGGCGCACAATGATATGGCACGCTAGTTGCCTGGGCAACAAAATAGTCATCACTGGTATGAAGCATTAAAAGGTCTGTTACAGAAGATGTTTCAGAAGAATATAATTTTCAGGGAAAAAGTAATTTGGATTTAACTAGTGTCTTACTGGCAATACAAATATCGCTAAGTTCAATAACTTGGCTAAAGAAAATAGAAGGGATGGGGTTTTGTTATCCCGGCCTCGTCCAATATTTTTTGGAGAGTAGCCCCTGGACCCATCACCTATTGTCAAATCCTTGGCTTCTATTTAACCCTGTCCCTCTCTTTACAGAAAGACTATTTAGGTAAAGGTAAATGTTTCCCTTACACCAGTGGTGGGTTTCAAAAATTGTTC